AGAGAGAGAGAGAGAGAGAGAGAGAGAGAGAGAGAGAGAGAGAGAGATCAGGCAAAGCCACTGAAAAAGGCAAGGACAATACCACAGGCAATTAAACATTCTTAGCTTGAACCACAATGGTTAAGTTTTGTGTGTCAACTTGACATAACCTCGAGTCATCAGAGGAAGGAGCCTCAGTTGAGGAAAGGCCTTGATGAGATCCAGTTGTAAGGCATTTTCTCAGTTAAGTGATCAATGCAGGAGGGCCTAGCCCACGGCAGGTGGTTCCATCCCTGGACTGTTGGTCCTGGGTTCTATAAGAAGGTGGGTTGAGCAAGTCATGGAAAACAAGCCAGTAAGCAGCTCCTCTCCATGGCCTCCCCATCACTCCTGCCTCCAGGATCCTGCCCTGTTTGAGTTCCTGTCCTGCCTCCTTCAGTGATGAACAGCAATGCTGAAGTGTAAGACAAAAAAGCCCTTTCCTCCCCAACTTGCTTTTGGTCATGGTGTTTTGTCTCAGCAATAGAAGCCCCAGCTAGGACAACGTCCATACTCAAAACCTAACTGGGAACATACCTCCACTCACACACTCACTGGGAATGCACCTACACTCACACACTCAATGGGAACACACCTACACTCACACACTCACTGGGAATATACTGACACACACACTCTCTGGGAACCCATGTACGCTTATACACTGTGAACACACCTACACTCACACACTGGGAAGACACCTACACTCAAGCCAACTTAATTTTCTCCAAAAGAAAAAAAACCAGAATAAGCCACTCTAGCCACTCTTCTCTACCTCAGATGTCATATAACATGTGCTGATTGCATAGAGAGTAAAGTATTAACTTCTCAAAGATTAACTGTCCCATATTTGAGTTCATTTTCTTTTTTATAAGGAAACAATACAGATACAAACCAAAACATCAAACTGTGGAAAAACATATTAGAGGACATTTTCTCTCTCTGCCCTGCCTTCAAGTTCCCTACCCTCAGAGGATCCCTCTCTCTCCATTGGTGTCTAGGCACTGATAAGTGTATTCAACCACATGCACCCACACTGCTGGTGATTTGGGCTGTTTCCTTGATACTCAAGTGGCACACTGCCTAATGCCTGGGCGTTTGCACGTAATCCCTGTTTTCCAGTTTGTTCTGACATGCTCCTTGCCGCAGTCCCGCTCACACAGTATCAGCACCTGTGCATCCACTCCCTGCTGGTGAATGCCTAGGTTATGAGGCTATGCCCCTCTCGGGTGCTGAACACCACCCTGCAGCAAGTATTCCGGCACACTCATCTTTGCACATGCCAGAAGTGTGTGAGTGTACATTCCTACAACAAAGGAATGTATATTCAAAATCTTGGTAGATGGGGCTGGAGAGGTGGCTCAGCGGTTAAGAGCATTGCCTGCTCTTCCAAAGGTCCTGAGTTCACTTCCCAGCAACCACATGGTGGCTCACAACCATCTGTAATGAAGTCTGGTGCCCTCTTCTGGTCTGCAGACAGAATATTGTATACATAATAAGTAAATAAATAAATATTTTAAAAAAAAATCTTGGTAGATGATGCAAACTGTCTTCCCCAGGTACTGTGTCACTTCACACCCTTTCCTTAAATCCCAGTTGTCATCTTGCTGCTCCCTGTGGGAAGACTCTAAAATCTCCCTGAACCACAGCAGATGGAAGGGTCCGGGGTTGAGCTTTCTTTGGTTGAGGAATCATGTTCACTCACATGGCTATAAGAAGCAAGGGGAGTGAGTTTTAGGAGGCTGCAGACTTTTGTAACAGAAAAAAAAAATAACTGCAACACAAAAATGAGCTTGGAAAAACCAGGTAAGAATAACTAGAAAAAAAAAACTGCCCCCAAGCAAGCATCACAGTGGGGAAATCTCAAATGCACATGAACTTAACGGGGACAAATCTCATTGTCTCTGTAACACAAGCAGGGGACTGAGTCTTAGCAGGGTTAAAGAAGAAGGAATTAGAGAAAACTAAGAATCAAGGGCATTTCATTCCTTGAGTCAGAGTAGAGATTTTTTTCTATTTCAGTTACTTTGCAAAGGTCTCTGATTTTCAAGGGACTTGATCTCACTCCTGTGACCTTAATCCCCAATAGCCAGCAGCCTTAACAAAGCATCCCTGAGACCTGTGAGGTTGGGTTCACAATTTAGTTTCTTCCTCAAGGGAGCAGCAGCAGAAGGGCTGGCTACAGACTGGGTTTTCTCTACAACTAAAAAGCACCCAGACTGAAGACTGAATCTTACATTTCTTGGTTTAATCTTGAAATGGCCCAACTACTTCTCCGTTCCAAATAAAAAGAATTCAAGGAAGGGCTGTGGTTATTACAAGATAAAACCTCTCCAACACCCAGGCAATTCTATAAACAATTTTGATTGAAAAAATATCCAAGTGGCCTCAGGCTGTGTCTTATCTTTATGTCCATTCCACAGATAGGAAAGCTGAGGCCCAGAGAGTGACTAGTTTAAACATATTCTGAAAACATATAAATCATATATCCATGCAATGAATCACATATTCAACAAAGGAAATTTTCCATGTACAGAATGAATTCATATACTTACCCCATATTCACATCGTACGGTAAAGAGAATAAAAATTAGTGACCTACGAAAAAGCAAAAATATAGACTGAGTGTTTGCTTTAGTGGGAAACAACCTAAGCAGAGTAACAGTACTAAACTCAGAGGGCTGGTTCTCACTCCCAACTGCTACCATCAGACACAGTCATCAAAGTCACCGTCTCTCCAGAAGGCTGGTTCTCACTCCTCACTGCTACCGTCTGACACAGCCCATTTAACCATCCCTCTGGCTGGCATCATTGCCTCTCCTCTTTTTATCAGTCAAGGAAGATGTACTGAAGGCCTTTGGTGTAGATACATTGAAAGCCATGATGCTGGAGTCCACAGGGGCACCCAAGGTGAGACTGAAGCCTGAATGAAGGAATGAGTGAGGAGGAGGTTCAGATGACTCCCCAGAAAGCTAGAGGAAAGTTAGAGGAGACAACTGTGGTCGGGAACACACTCGAGAACGACCGGTATATCTGAGTTGTCCTTTAAGGGGACCCATTCAAGAAGAAGGAGAGGTAGATGGAAAGGTGCGTGAAGGAGAAGAGCTTGGGCTGAGTGGGAATAATGTGGAATTATCAGTAAAGTGTGAAGTGGTCCACAGACAGAATCCACCTAGGGCTTTGTTGCAACAGTGAACACATTTTACCAACAGGATGTTATCAAGAAAGGTCAAGCAAGCGTTTGCTGGGACATCCATCCCTACGTCAAAGCCTTCAGTGCACATTGTCTCATTTGGTCCTTGAACATCTGTAGTGAGTTGGTGCTCCCGACCATTACTATTCATACCTCTCTCCCCACCTCTCCCCATAGTGGTGGGAGCACTGGAGCCAGGCCATGGACTTGGTTTTCTGTAGCCTTTCCCACCTTGGAGTCATGAGCTAAGTGAACCTTCTTTTCCCACACTCTAGCCCTTTCTCTTGGAGTAACAGAAAGACTACGGACCATAACAAAGGGTTGTGTCTGGGTGTGACCCTGACTAAAAGACCAGAAGCTGGAGGGTCTCATGATTGAAATCAAGGTATCTGAGACCTGTGTTCCTGAACACAGAGAGTCTGGTTCTCACCTTTCCCAGATTTTAGACGTGTCCGTGTTCTTTGGCTCGTGGTCCCTTCCATCTCCAAAACTGGTGCTCTCTGGCCTCTGCTTCTGCTGAGATACCTTGTTCACTGATGCCGGACTCCCTCCTCCTCCTCCCACATCTAAAAGTCCCTTGTGATGACATGGAATGCACCCAGACAGTCTAAGATCCCTACCCCATTCAAGATCACCTGAATTCTATTTGCAACCATGAGTTCCTCTCCTCGTGTAAATAACATATTAACAAAAACTAGGATGTAGACATCCTTGAGGCCGTTAGCCTGCCCATTGCACTCGGGAAAGTGTTTTGTCCTCATCCACTAGTTCGGGGACCCTGAAGTTCTGGATATTTATTGCTTTGCTATTCAAATCTAGTCAGTAAGATAGCAGGAACCCAGGGATTTTAATCATCAGCACAGCTTTGCATTCAGTCACGATGTGAGTGCCTTTTGGGAAATTCGTTGGTATTTAAAAGTCAGAACGGGTGTTAAAAGGCAGCAGAACTTATTCCATAAAGACATACGCACACCAAGGATACTCACCAAGGGCCTGTGACTGAGGGCTTGGTCCATCTGAAAAAAGACCTCATGAAGACCTTGCGCACAGGTACCCTCACCGGTGAGCTCTGCATCCAAAATCCCCCTCCAGTCTTCTCCTGCCTTTCAGAAGACTCTTGTGGACAGTTGGGCGTCTGTGTCCTGTGTTAGAATCTGCATGTGTGAAATACAAATACGTCTCTCATAAGAACGATGTGCAATACAATTGAGAATAACGGCTTCCATTATTCTGTCCACGATGAAAGCATTCTAAACAACCACAATGACTGTTGACAGAGTAATCTTTTCTTAGTGCTTGTCATACTGAATAAATATCCTTAGAGACTAAAATATCCTACTAGGGACAAGAGGATAAGGTGTGGGGGGCAGGGACACAGAACGGAGGAACAGGGTGTGGGGTGAGGGAAGAGGAACTCATGCAAATGTATGAAGGAACCCGTGACTTTGTAAGCTCTCTGTAAAAAAGGTTTTTCTTTTATTTTTGCTTTATGCGTACAGGGTGTTTTGCTGCATATGTTTGTGTACCGAGTGCATGCAGCGTCCAAGGAGACCAGAAGAGGGCGTCTGATCCCCTAGAGCTGGAGTTAGAAGTAGTTAGCTGCCGCCATGTGGGTTCTGGGAAGCGAACTCAGGTCCTCTGAAAGAGTAGCTAGTGCTCTTAGCAACTGAGTGATTTCTCTAGGTCTTCACAAATTAACTTTAGGCTGGATGTAGAGGGGAGAGGGCCTTGGACTTCCCACAGGGCAGGGTTCCCTGCCCTCTCTTAAGGAGTGAGGGGGAGGGAGGAGGGTGAGTAGGAAAGCGGGAGGGGAATGGAAGGAGGGAAGGAAGTGTAAATTTTTGAATGGAAAAAAATAAAAAAGATAAAAAGATATAAAACAGGAATTGAACTATTCTCAAATCCTTTATATGTAGCAAATATAGTTTTGAAAAATGAAGAATTTGTGAGAACTAAAAGCACGTTTTTTCACCGTAGTCTTGCACATGAATATTCATAACAGCAAAACCTGGAAAAATACAGTAATGGAAAAGCAAAATATTATACCATGTAACAAAATATTATTTAGCCTTAATAAGGAATTATACACGGATATGTGCTGCTCCTGGATGAACCATGAAATCTTTGTATCAAAAGCACATAGACAAAGGGCGAATTACAGAGCTAGAAAATAGAATAGTAAGCACCAGGGGGAGGGGCAGATGGAAAATTGGGGAGCACGGGTTACTTTGGGGAAGGCAATTATGTTCTGAAATTAGAGCGTGGTCGTGGCGTCCACCGTGCCTGTATCTGGGACTACTCAGCTACACACCTGAGAAGAGTTAAAATGCTGAGCTGTTTGGTTTTTTTTTTTTTAATTTTAATTGTCAACAGGAGAAAACATATTTTTAAACTTGACCTTAAGGACTCTTTCCTTTGATCTGAGGTCTCTTTGAAGAATGAAGGCATCTCATTTTTAAAAGTTTGGCTCCTCTGAGCCTCTGTCCTTACGGGAACTGGTAAGGAGAAGGGACCCGGGCACATCCGATATTACAAGCTATTTTTCAGTTTCTGGATGAAAGATGGGCAAATGAGTTCACCACAGTGTCGACTGAAGGCTAGTTCCTTGGTGAGTGCTGGAGCCGCATTCTGTGATGGCTTCCAAAGCAAGCAGAAATATAGCTAGGGAGAACACATACATCGTGTCCATCTCCAAACTGATTATTTTAAATAGCTTTTGATTTAAAGTTACATTCTGAAAATGAGTCTCAAGAAAATGGATTATTATTTTGGAATGAAAATACAAGTTACTTTAAATCACTTTAATTATACTCAATATTGTAAACAAATGGAGAATTGTCCAAAACTATGGAAAATCAGAGATATTTGTGTTTTAATTAAAAATAATTGGTGCAGAGGCTGGAGAGACGGCTCAGTGGTTAAGATCACTCTTCCAGAGGACCTGAGTTCAATTCCCAGCAACCATATGGTGGCTCACTACCATCTGTAATGGGATCTGATACCCTCTTCTGGCCTGCAGGGATACATGCAGATAGACTACTCGTACCTTAATGCATAAATAAAGAACTTAAAAAAGTAATTGGTGCAGTTAATCTCCACAGTCAGCTAGGCACACTGGGAAGGCGCTGTCACAGGGGAACACTATTAAATGCAGAAGGATATCTGCTGACTACTGTCCTAACATCTGGAGTTTCTCAGCACACTTGGATCGATGATTTCTGGAAACATCAAAATAAAACCATTCGAACATTATTTTACAAATATCCAGTATGTTATAACGCCACAACAGTTCAATTTTCACCACCAATGAATAAAAATGTTATACATATATTTTTTAATGGAAATTTATGATGCTCAGTTTTTAATCATGAAATTGTATTTACATATCATTCAGTCCATATCTACTCTACTGTTTTTGTGTGCGGTTGTATATGTGTGTGCATGTGAAAGTCATAGGTCAAACCTTGGTGTTCCCCAGGTGCCGTCGGCCGTGTTCCTTGAGAAAGAGTCTAGCATTAGTCTGGAGTTGGCCTAGTAGGCTTGTCTGGCTGGTCTGTGAACCTGAGGGATATCTGGGATGTCTTGACAATGGGAGTAACCCAGTTTCATTTCTGTTGTGGTATAACACCTTGACGAGCAACCATAGGGAAGAGGGTTTATTATGCTTATACTTCTAGGAGATGGCTCACGAATACAGAGAAGTCACGGATGCAAGACAACTGGTCACACCACATCTGCAGTGAAGAGCAAAGAGAATGAAGGTACCCATGCTTTCTGCTTGCTCTCATTAAGCTTCTTCCTATCTTAGACAATTTGATTCCCCACCTAGGTAATGGTGCATCCCCCAGTGGGCTGGGTCTTCCTACATCAATTAACAGTCAAGACAACCCCTCACAGACATGTATGCAGACCAACCCTGTCTAGACAACTTCTCAAATGAAACTCTCCTGTTGGGTGATTCTAGGTTGTGTCGAGTTGAAGGTTAAGACTAACCAGGGTAGAGAGCATGCTCTTCTCTTGAAAAGAGTAAGAAGGAAAATTGTGGAAAGAAAGGTTAGAATCTTGATCAAAGGCGGAAGAATCTGTACCACAGCTGAGAATCCAGATATTGATTTCTTTTTATTCTCCACAAAATGAGTTATATAAGCAGTTTTTGCTTCCTCGAGGTATGTGCGCTTCTGTGTAAAGAGCCGTTCTAAGCCAAAGGGAAGAAATGGTCTGTCAGGAGCAGATGGTGGATGGGTGTGCAATTATATGCGCATTTGTGCAGCCCACAGACCAGCCGCACAAAGATTTTCAGTCTTCATGGCTGTGATATATTATATATCGCATATGACATACATGATATGTTATAGGTGATCTATGAGGACTTTCACGGTTGTGATGGCCATTGTTAAGCATATTAAAGTATTTGCTTTGGTCCAGCTTCCAAATACATAAAATATTACCTTATCTTACACAGCAGCCACTCTCTAACTTAACATATTACATGAATGGCTGACGCTGTGTGAAACTAGACGAGACACTATGTTTCTGTTGGAATTTACTGCCGCTACAAAGAATGTAACTCAAATAGTCTGAATTGCTATGACACCAGGATATACACAAACAGCATTAGATGATCTTCTACACAGTCAGTTTGGGCAGAAGTTATGTGTCTTTCGATGGAAGCGCTTTGCCACTGTTGACTGTTACTGGGAAAAGGCATATTCTCCGTGATGGCATCCTGGTTCTGCTTTCAGTCCAGCCACATAAGAACACGTGATCTGATATTCTATTGACTGATTCCACCTCCACAGCCCTATGGGAAGGATCACACACAATAAACCCCGGACTCAAGGCAACCCAACTCAAAACATGCTTCTGTGACAGAGAACTCAGATTCTAGGATGGGGACTAGTGCAGAAAGAGGGTCTATAGGGGAGCAGAAATGAACACAGCGAGAAGAAAAGATGTGGAAGAAGAAAGATGCATTAAGCAATGGTCCAGGGTAGAGTCCAGGTGGACAGAAAGCTTGAATTTGGAAAAAACCAAATGCTAAGTTGTCACAAAAAGCTGTTGTCAGAGGAACTACAAGGGTCTATGATTCGCTGAGAGGACAGAAGCTGCCCCACCCCTTCCGGTAGTTTTACTCTCGGTTTCCTGTGTCTGAGTGAATGGGCCTGCCTGTGCAGACGAGGTGGATGGAAGGTCCTCTCCTTCCTGAAGGGTCTAAGGCTGTTCTTGTCGCAGAGAAAGCTTGCTTGCCCTCCAAGAGAGAGATTGCATGTCAGTACTTTAGCCATTTTTTAAGCACCTGCTCACCGCAGATCCCTGTTATGTCTTCAAGCTTCCCGCCCCCAAAATACAAACAGAAGTCCTTTCTTGCATGTGTGATCAGCAAAGGCCACCATGTTGTCTTGCTCTAATCCCTCGTGATAATTAATTCCACTTCATTTGTTTGTAAAAACAAAACTCCTTGGTTTCCAGCTCCCCTGGGAGCCTTATGAGTCTCTGCTCAATGTTTTCCAAGTGTCCCAATCTTGGGAACCAGATCCAAGATCTTCCGGATTTCCACGAGTTGCACCATGGGAAATTTGTTTTCTCTGCAACAGGATCTTAGGTTGGAGCCCTGCTGTGCTCTCATCACCATGGGCGAGTAGCCAGGGTTGGGAATCAGATGAACAAGGAGCTGAGGCTTGGACTTTTCTACTCACAGAACGCTTGTAGAGGTTCATGTCTTTTTCTCCATTGGTGACACCAATTCTGTGTGTTCTGTTAAGTGCCCAGATTTTTTGTTTTGTTTTGTTTTCTTTTCTTTTCTTTTTTTTCCTATGAAATAACTTCCTACTTGCTCAATGACTACATGGGCTTTCTACCCGATACAACGATCAGAAGGTTCTTTCTGGTGATAACCGTCCGAAGTGTGCAGGCAAACTATTTTGTATATTTCTTTCTCCAAACTAGAATTTTCAATGTTTGAGCTTTAATTCGAAAGGGGAGCAGTGCTGAAGAGGTGACTTAAAGGTTAAAAGCACTGGCTGCCCTTCCAGAGGACTGGGGTTCAACTCTCAGAACCCACACTGACCAACAACCAGCTATAATTCTAGTACCAGGGGATCTGATGCCTCCTTCTGGCCTCTGCAGGTAGTGCATGCACATGGTGCATAGGCAT